GGGGGGGGGGGGGGGGGGGGGGTGGAGAGGTGAGGGAGGGGGGGGGGGGGGGGGGGGGGGGGGGGGGGGGGGGGGGGGGGGGGCAAAGGTGTAGAGGAAGAAAAATAGAGAAAATAAGATTAGCGTGAGAGTGAAAGAGGGGGCGGGAGAGAGGTTGACAGAGAGAAACCAAAACAGCAGCAGCAGCAGCAGCAGCAAGCAGCAGCAGCAATGGCATGAGGAATGAAGGAAAAAAGAAAAGAAGATATGACATAGAAACAACTGAGGTGCTGGCATTTTTGCACAATATAATAGTTTATGGAAGGGCAGAAGGGAGGGTCAATGGGAGGTATTATAAGAAGATGGTAAAGGGGTACTTACATTGATGGGTGTCATTTATAGATGGCTGGAGGGGGCTTCTCGAAAGGGAGGGAGAGGGGCAAGATGGTATCTGACTTCATTTAGATACAACCACATGACCAAGAGGTAAATACATAATCAACCCCAATAAGAGCCCATTAAAGGGCCAAGGCACCCAGGCTTTGTCCAAAAAGTAATTACACTTACATTTTAATAAGTCCTTCTAATGAGAAATTAAACCCTAATTAGCAAGTAATTGTAAATGACATCAATAACTTTTTACAACTGAATGGACGAGCAAGGGGACAAGAGGAGCGCCAAAATCCATGCAGTAGCGGTATGAATTTATATAATGGGATTGAAAGTGCCTTCAATATTTTTATTGAATAAATGATGATATTCATGATGCAGTTCATCAAAGTGGAGTGTCTGCTTGAGTCTCTGGAGTGAGGCGCGCATTTTACAATCTTCTTCCCTGCCTGCGACGCTGGCCCTCTTTGTGGCTGATGACAAACAGGCGGACCCCAGCAGCAAGGACTCAGTGCCAACACATGAAGCCGACCCGCCCACAACGCCGGCCAGTAATGGCTCCGGGGACAAACTCCAGGAGTTCGGGAATGGCTGGGTAAAATCTCCATCCCCTGTGCATCAATTTCAATCAGTGATATATGTTTAGTAAAAAAAAAAAAAAAAAAGACTGCAGAGTCAGCATAACAATAAAAAACTAAAATAATTTAATAAAAGAAAAACTGCAGTTGTTTGCCATATGGTAACATAACACATGGAACAAAGACTAACAACACAGACAGCAAAAGTATAAGTTTCTTTTTTTCCTTTACAATTTCTAAAGCTTTTATTTTTATGTGTAGTTTTAATAATTAATAAATTAAAAAATATTTTGCAAATGTACATTACCTTTTTAAAAAAAATTTTTTAAAATACATTCCTAATTTTAATGTAATTTGTTTTGCTAATGCAAAATAAAGTTGACCATTTGTATTTACTGTAAAAATGTTTCAGACATTTAAATTGAATCTCTAATCTTAATATTTCTAAATTTAAATTACAAATTTTACATTTAATAATAATTTTAAATGCATCTGATCATAACCTTGTCTGACCTTCAGTACAAGCAATACACTTGCATCAGTGTGGGTTCAAATTACAATACAATTCACAAAGAAAAGAAACTCATAAAGCAAGATTGCTGCGGAGTTTTGGAGATTAGATCCACTAAAACTGTAAATACCAATCTACATCCACTGTCAAAAACTTAAACTGGTTGGTCTTTGCAATAATGTCTTCGCTGAGACATCTGGCTGATTACCAGCAGACTATGTTAATAATCAATCAACTCTATGGTTCGCGACTGTTGTGACAGCCATTGGGTAACAGCAAATGTATGATGACTATCCTATCCTATTCACATTTCATGTCACGATTCACATAGAGAATCAGAAAAAGACCAGTAATAAATTCATATCGCTAACTCTTTTTGAGAAGTATTAGTGGAGCTATTTCCATCATTCGGGCTCTAATGGACAGCTTCCCAAACAGGGCCCTGCTCTAATTTTGGTCCTAACGCGGGGAAACAGAGGGACGGGGGGGAAGGAATGAAGAACGAGAGTAAAGAGTTAGAAAAAGCAGACTGAGAGGAGGAGGACGGGTTGAAACAGAGGGTGGGGCGAGAATGCGAAGGGGCAAGGTTGCTCTTGAACACCTACCCATGGTGGAGAACATTGACTGATGGACTGGGCTCGCTTCAGCAACTCCCACGCGACGAGATAGCAGCCGCAGCTCGTAACACAGCCTGAACCAGCTCCACAGCACACACACACCACACACACACACACAACACACACACACCCAACCCACACACACAACCAAGCACACACACACACACACCACCACAACCACCCAAACACGAAACGCATGGGGAGGAATCAGAGAAGAAGCCACACTTTGTCAACACGGAACATGTGTCTGCAATGCTAAGAAGTTGATTTGAATTCGAGTAGCCCTATATAGGAGACGAAAAGGGAGGATAAAGGAGGCAGAAGGAAGAAAAGGCAAGCGCATGCACACGTAATTGAAAGACGACAGAAAAAGTGATCGGCTGGCCAATGTAGTGTGCCATAACTGAGAAGTGGGTACATGGAGGTATAAGCCTAGATAAAATCTCCAAGGCAATTCGACAAGCACGCGTGGACTGATTAGTCTCAGAGGGAGCCGTGCGACTGGCTTGTTACCTTGTGCCAGACCCCGGAACGACTATCTCGCTACTGTTGGCACTGATGTCCTCGACAAATTTAACCACTCCCCTTGCTGGGTGCGGGACTGAAGAACAAGCGTGTGATGGCAAGGGTGGGGGCTTCAGGAGGGGAACATTGCAGAACAACTCCTGCTGACGGCCCTGATTAGCGTGACAGCGATGCAGGAGGCTTTAGTTTTACTTCTCTTCCAGAGGGGGCTCTGATGCAGAGGGTGGGGAAAAAGAAAAGACCTTCAGTGGATCTGTATACAGATCGTTCTGGGGGAAAAATTAAATGTACAGAGGGATGAAAATTGGCTGCTGTCACAAAATGTTCAACCTTGAGAGTTGAGAGGGAATCAGGACTAAGATAACAGTCAACATACAGCTCACATGTCCCAGTTCGGTCTGTTTAAAGACAGGCAGAGGCACATGTTGTAAACGGTAATGAGCCAGGAGGTTGGTTCCATTTGTAGTTATAAGTACAACTTAATTTTTACCGCACAGTAAGAACATTATGGAAAGTAATGATACTGTCATATCATCCACCAACAACACATCCTTTTGCATTCACAAATGACTTTCCTGGCACTATTAAAGTCCGATGAGCTTGGATGGAAAAGAATCAATGATGGACTGATTGTGTCGTAAAATATTTATTGGAGATTCCTTAAACTACTGGGAAAATTGAACAGGATGATTCCCAATAACAACCTTTTGAGAAAAAAAACTCTGGAGTTTTTTTTTTTTTTTTTTTTTTTTTTTTTTTTTTTTTATCTCATATTCAGCATAGGTTGCATCACAGATCAAAGGGTTTTTTTTATGAACCTCTCCAATGTCCTCCCAGATGTCTGCTCCCTGCTCGCAACGGTCAAATATTTCAGGGGCAAAAGCAACATTTTAATCACAACACAAACATTTTCCACTGACCTTGACCTGCCACGGCTGAAGCAAAGGATTAAACAACACAACAACACAACAACAACACCAAAACAAAAAAAAGGCTGTTAAGAATTCAGTGAAAGTGCACAGAGGCAAAACCGGCGGGTGGTAATATGTGCTTGAAATGTTTGATTTGTTGCTGGAGGATAATTTCATAACATTCCGGTGAATGATGTTGACCATCTACAAGACCTCGCAAAAATACATTTGAGGATAAAAACTACTCACGTGCCGGACATAGATAGAGAACAGTCTGTCTGCGAGAAGGAGGAGGTGGTGGTAGAGGAAGTGGTGGGATAGAGGGTGCCGGCTGGAAGTAGGCTTTTCTTCAACACACTGTCTGGACTCCCGGTGCCTGAAGTCTTTCTGTGGGGGGGGGCAAAGGTGTAAGAGGAAGAAAAATAGAGAAAATAAGATTGAGTGAGAGTGAAAGAGGGGGCGGGAGAGAGGTTGACAGAGAGAAACCAAAACAGCAGCAGCAGCAGCAGCAGCAGCAGCAGCAATGCATGAGGATGAGGAAAAAAAGAAAAGAAGATATGACATAGGAAACAACTGAGGTGCTGGCATTTTCACCATATAATAGTTTGTATGGGAAGCAGAGGGAAGGGTCAATGGGAGGTATTATAATGAAATGGTAAAGGGGTACTTACATTGATGGGGTGCATTTATAGATGGCTGGAGGGGGCTCTGAAAGGGAGGGAGAGGGGCAAGATGGTATCTGACTCATTAGGATACAACCACACTGACCAAGAAGTAAAAACATAATCAACCCCAATAAGAGCCCATTAAAGGGCCCAAGGCACCCAGGCTTGTCCAAAAAGTTAATTACACTTACATTTATCAGTCCCTAATGAGAAATTACCCTAATTAGCAAGTAATGTAAATGACATCAATAACTTTTACAACTGAATGGACGAGCAGGGGACAAGAGGAGCGCCAAATCCATGCAGTAGGGTATGATTTATATAATGGATTGAAAGTGCCTTCAATATTTTATTGAATAAATGATGATATTCATGATGCAGTTCATCAAAGTGAGTGTCTGCTGAGTCTCTGGAGTGAGGGGCATTTTACCATCCTTCTTCCTCCTGCGACGCTGGTCCCTCTTGTGGCTGATGACACAGGCGGACCCCAGCAGCAAGACCAGTGCCAAGCACATGAAGCCGACCCCGCCCAGCACGCCGGCCAGTAATGGCTCCGGGACAAACTCCAGGAGTCGGGATGTGCTGGGGTAGATCTCCATCCCTGTGACATCATTTCATCAGTGATATATGTTAGTAAAAAAAAAAAAAAGACTGCAGAGTCAGCCATAACCATAAAAAACTACAAATAATTTAATAAAAGAAAAACTGCAGTTGTTTGCCATAATGGTAACATACACATGAACAAGATACAACACAAGACAGCAAAGTTAAGTTCTTTTTCCTTTACAATTTTCTAAGCTTTTATTTTATGTGTAGTTTTATAATTAATAAATTAAAAAATATTTTGCAAATGTTACATTACCTTTTAAAAAAAAATTTTTTAAATACATTCCTAATTTTTAATGTAATTTGTTTGCCTATGCAAAATAAAGTTGACATTTTGTATTTACTTAAAAATGTTTCAGACATTTAAATTGAATCTCTAATCTTAATTTCTAAATTTAAATTCAAATTTTACATTTAATAAATAATTTTAAAGCATCTGATCATACTGTCTGACCTTCAGTACAAGCATACACTTGCATCAGTGTGTTACAATTACAATACAATCACAAAGAAAGAAACTCATAAAGGATTGCTGCGGAGTTTGGAGATTAGATCCACTTAAAACTGTAAATACCAATCTACATCCCTGTCAAAACTTAAACTGGTTGCTTTTGCATAATGTGCTTCGCGAGACATCTGGCTGATTACCAGCAGAGCTATGTTAAATAATAATCAATCTATGGTTCGCACTGTTGTGACAGCCATTGGGTAACAGCAAGTGTATGATGACTACCATATCTGATTCACATTCATGTCACATTCACATAAGAATCAGAAAAGACCAGTATAAATTCTATCGCTAACTCTTTTGAGAAGTTATTAGTGGAGCTATTTCTATCATTCTGGCTTCTAATGGACAGCGTTCCCCAGGGCCCTGCTCTAATTTTGGTCTAACGCGGGGAACAGAGGGACGGGGGGAAGGAATGAAGAACGAGAGTAAAGAGTTAGAAAAGCAGACTGAGAGGAGGAGGACGGGTTGAAACAGAGGGTGGGGCGAGAATGCGAAGGGGGCAAGGTTGCTCTTGAACACCTACCCATGGTGGAGACATTGACTGATGGACTGGGCTCGCTCAGCAACTCCCCGCGACGAGATAGCAGCCGCAGCTCGTACACACAGTCCTGAGACCAGCATCCACACACACACACACACACACACACACACACACACACACACACACACACACACGCAGAGTGGGGAGGACAGAGGAAGAAGCCACACTTTGTCAACACGGGACTGTGTCTGCAATGCTAATGAAGTTGATTTGAATTCGAGTAGCCCTATATAGGAGAGAAAAGGGAGGATGAAAGGAGCAGAAGGAAGAAAAGGCAGCGCACACAGATTGAAAGACGACAGAAAAGTGATGGCTGCCATGTAGTGTGCATAACTGAGAAGTGTACATGGAGGTATAGCCTAGATAAAAATCTCCAAGGCATTCGACAAGCACCGTGGACTGATTAGTCTCAGAGGGAGCCGTGCGACTGGCTTGTTACCTTGTGCAGACCCGGAACGACTATCTCGCTACTGTTGGCACTGATGTCCTCGACCAAATTAAACCACTCCCCTTGCTGGGTGCGGGACTGAAGAACAAAGCGTGTGATGGGAGGGTGGTGGGCTTCAGGAGGGGACCATTGCAGAACAACTCCTGCTGAGCCCTGATTAGCTGACAGCGATGCAGGAGGCTTTAGTTTACTTCTCTTCAGAGGGGGATCTGATGCAGAGGGTGGGGGAAAAGAAAGACCTTCAGTGGATCTGCCAGATACGTTCTGGGGGAAAAATTAAATTACAGAGGATGAAAATTGCTGCTGTCACAAATGTTCAACCTTGAGAGTGAGAGGGAATCAGGACTAAGATAACAGTCAATATACAGCTCACTGTCCAGTTCGGTCTGTTTAAAACCGCAGAGGCAAACATGTTGTAACGGTAATGAGCCAGGAGGTTGGTTACCATTGTAGTTATACAGTACACCATTATATTTTTACCCACAGTAAGAACATTATGAAAGTATGATACTGTCATATCATCACACAACACATCCTTTGCATTCACAAATGACTTTCTGCACTATTAAACCGATGAGCTTGGATGGAAAAGAATCAATGATGACTGATTGTGCGTAAATATTTATTTGGGAGATTCTAACTACTGAAATTGACAGGATGATTCCCAATACAAACCTTTTGAGGAAAAAAAATCTGAGTTTTTTTTTTTTTTTTTTTTGTTTTTTTTTTATCTCTTATCCAGCAATAGGTTGCATCATCAAAGGTGTTTTTTTATGACCTCTCAAATGTCTCCCAGATGTCTGCTCCCTGCTCGCAACGGTCAAATATTTCCAGGGGCAAAAGCAACATTTAACTCACAACAACATTTCCACTGACCTGACCTGCCACGGGCTGAAGCAAAGGATTAAACAACAACAACAACAACAACAACAACAACAACAACAAAAAAAAGTGCTGTACATTCAGGTAAGAAGTGCACAGAGGCACCGGCGGGTGGTAATATTGGATTGAAATGTTGATTTTGTGCTGGAGGATAATTTCATCATTCCGGGAAGACTGTTGACATCTACAAGACCGCAAAAATACATTTGAGGATAAAACTCACTGCCGGACAACAGGTCAAACAATTCTACGGGTCTACGGTCACACTATCAGCTCTGTCAGGCTGCACTTAGGCGGTGGTTTGAGTCGCCTGATGTATAATCAGAGGATCGTTACAGTTATGTCAGTTCTTCTAGACGGGTACGTGAATGTCTGGACCTAATTTCTTTTTGCGCGGCTGGCAGTTGCTGAGAGATTTCATTTTGCACCAAAGTGGTGAACAGAACAGCTGACAGACCGATATCGCCATCCCTACAGCCACGTCGTTAGCAAGGTTTGTGTTCGGAATTATATGTGACCAAGTGGAGTTAAGTCCTTGAGGCGGCCTGAACTGCAAAAAAAAAAAAAAAAAAAAAAAAAACACAACCGTGATTGTAGTGAGGTGTTAAAGAGAGGTTCTTCCTTCGCAAAACAAAGTATCGTTGGCTGAGTACCCACATTGGCTTCTAGCTCGCATATTTAACACACAACAGCAAAGTACCTTGTCATTTGGATTGATGCGAAGGAAATCATCTATCAAATTTAGTGTGTAAAACTAAGGCCAAATATTGTCTTTTTTTCTATAGCATTAACTCCTGCTTCCCATTGCATTGTAGAAAAACACTTGTTGAGGCAACTCTTTTTCATCAGCATCACTAAAGCCTCTCGATGCCGTCTACCATTCTGCACTAGAGTTCATTACCGGTGATGCTTAAAACACTCATCATTGCATCCTGTACAAGAAGGTTGGCTGGTTCTCTCTCTCTCGCTCTCTCTCTCTCTCTCTGAGAGGCGTGATTTGCATATGTATTTGTTTATTTACAAGGCCCTTATTGGAAAGCTGCCTTCATATATTACTTCCCTGCTGGTTTGGTTCACTGGACCACATTACACCAGGACTAATGACTGGCTTACGCTCCATGTCCCTCGAGTTCATACTGAGCTTGGCAGAGCAGCTTTTGCCTTCTTTGCACCATCCACCTGGAACTCACCACTTTAAAAATTAATTTGTTGGTACTTCTCGGTCATTTTAAAGTTATAATATGAAACTTTTCCACATTAAAATGTCTAAAAATGACGAGAACTGTGTTATATTTTTTGTTTGAGTTGTGCACTCACATTATCCCAAAGGTTTCCAGCAATTCTCACACCTAGAGAAATACGTGATTTTAATCATGGTAGTGCTCTGCTTTCATTTTCATTTGGTAAATTACATCATATCCCCTATGTGCATAAATCAGCGGTATGGTTTCCAGCCTGAAGCTCAAAATTGACTTTTATCCAGTTTTAAAATACACTTTTTACACCTTGGTCTTTACATCTTTACACTTTTACATCTTTACACATGTCTGGATCTTAAGTTATCAGAGAAAAAAGTCACCTAAATGTTAGACAGCTCAGTTCCCATCCACTCCGATACGTCCTGTGTCAACGAAGAGCGTCGGTGAATCACAGGTTTTTAAAGTGAAACTGCTTTACTCGTTGTTTCTACCGGTTTAAATCCCCTGGTCCGTTAGTTATGGACAAAATGATACCTCTGTGGATAATTCAGCACCTGGTAAAAACCTGACAATGAAATAATCCAAAGCGGTAGAAGCTGACGGTAATGGCTGTGAAGACAACAGCTCCCATGATTCCGCGCTGTTTCTTGACCCCAACCAGCAAAAGTTATATACTGTGCATTTAAATCCTTAATTTCAAACATTTTAACTTCTGTTTGCACCTATTTTAATTGATTATTCATTAATTGTATTTATATGTTTGTTTTAATTCTTGTTCTTGTATCTGTATCGTTTTGTATCTGCTCGACATCATTGGATAAAGAGACATATAAAGTTCCATGTTGACCTTTGGGCAAGTTTCTCATGGAAATTCACTTTAACTAGCCACTGCTGATATAATCTGCTTCTGGCAATATTTGTCACTGATGAAAAAGACACTCAGCACCAGTGAAAGGATGAAAAGTCTGCTAAGCTGAATGTTTTGTACACTGTTCACTGCTAATAAAAAAAAAAAAAGACTGAGGAGAAATACAACATTTGATTTTTTAAACTTTGGACCTCAGTGAGTATTTTGCGAATCGGCAACTGGCTTTCAGAAACAGCTTCTGGGGGATGGTACTGACCCAAAGTCCGTGAGGTGACGATCTCGCTGAAGGGTCCTGTGCCCATTTTATTCTGCGACAGGATGCTGAACTGGTATTCGGTGGCAGGAGACAGGCCTGTCACCTGCAGCCTGGTGCCAGAGGACAGGGGCACAGGCACAGAGAACCAGTCCTGCTTGGCATCATTATCACTCACTGAAAGCTTCTTCACCCTGCAGAGGGAGAGAGACCGAGAGAAAAAGAAAGTGAGAACAAAAGAGCGGCGCGGAATTCTGGGAGTCTGGTTTTATGAAACATGACAGAAAAGTAGGTTTCATTAATCATTCATACTCATCATCATCTCCAGATCTTGTGGCAGAGACACTGATGTGTCCCTGCTATTGCAACTCCAATTATGGTGATTTTCAAGCTCCTATCCAAGCTGAGGTTCTATACATCTATTTTATACAGAGCATTACATTATGATGGCTTCAGGTCAACAGAAAAGGTACACTCTTTATGAGAAGACAAAATATTACATGGTGCAGCTAATTGTTAGGTGCTTCTCTTTTGCACACTCTGAAATTTGAATTAAGCATAAATACTGTATGTTATTGTGGCGCATAAAGCAGGTCATTTTTATAAAGCAAAAGACAAGAGCAGACTTCACTTCCTAAGAATAAAAAATAAGAAATGTGTGGGTGTTTTTCTATTTTGGTCTGTAGCAATTGATTTTTCAACTATATGTTGTGAACACTTGCCCATAGAGCTTTCACAGCTGTAAAACAAAAAGCCTGATTGTTAAAAATTTAATTTGTGGAAAGACACAATGTTCTAAGGAGACCTATCTGCTATGGTTATTAGCCTGCAGTTGAAAAACATTCACTCTACATCCTGTTAGAGTTGACACAGCGCAGAAAAAGCAAAAGTGTTTGCAGTGTTTTTTTGTTGTTTTTTTTTGTTTCTCACAACAGAGAGAGTGTGTTCACTTCTTAATCTTCGGCCGTAACGTGTCAGGCTGTCAGAGCGACGAGTAGCTGAGACTTTAGAAGGTTTGTTTATACAGTTATTCTGATCTATTTTCATGTTTTTTTGATGTAATTTATATTTATTTTCCATGCTGCTCCTTTGCTGCAGCGATGACCCAGTTCCCTCTCAGGGATTAAGAAAGCTCATATCATATTCATCTGATGTAGCACTCGCAGGTTACAATGTGATTAAGACGAGCATTAGGAGAAGGTTCCTGTATGTCATCACCATGCCATTCTTTGACATCAAAAAAACATGATAATCTAAATATAGTTTTTTTTATTCGATTTAGAATTTTGAATCCTAGCTCTTTTTTTTTTTTTTTTTTTTTTTAAACTTAATTGAACTAAAATAACCTCATGTCCATGCATTATAACTGTGATACTGTGCTCATGTTTTGAAAAGAGAATACAAGTCTAACAGTAGTTCTCTGGTTAGTTGTTATCCAGCTGGCTGTAGTTTTACATTCCTTTTATTCTGTCCATCACTCTCTTTTAAATTCATCACAGGCTTATCTAAAACACTGTGTTCTCTAAGCCAATCTATTGTAAAAGCCCTGATTCACAACAAAACAAATGTCTTACGTTCTGTTTTGCCAGTAACCTCCTATTGAACTAGCGCGGCCACTGCATTATAAAGCTATGCTCTGCAGCAGCGTTTTTTATTGTAGCTGCCAAGAAGTGATAACAGATAAATGAATTCCTCATCCTGGAGATCAATAGAGTAATACCAGCGTTGTCGATGGCTGCCATGGTTACAGCCCGAGAAGAAAGTGGGAGGCTTTACACCCACCAAACTGAAAATGTCTGTGCTGATCCTCCATCAAAGCCTGCCTCCCAGGATAAGTTGGCCTGCTTCACCCCTGGAGAGACGGACAGAGAGGTAGCCGCATGGGGACTGGTTCCTGTAATGGAGGGAACGGAGAGGAGTTGATGGAAATCAGCCAGCACTTCAACTACCTGATACCACTAAAGTTTAGAGGCCATCTCTAGATGTGCCACATTTATCCGTCGGAGGCGGAGTGGAGGCACAGGCATCCGTCCTGTGCTGGCTGTAATAGGGGTTTAAAGAAAACAATACAAACAAAATAAAAATGTAGACTGCTCACGTAATAGCGGAACACACTTTTTACATTACGGCATTCTCAGATAGCTCACTCACCCAGGACAAAGACTTGTGTGATGGCCTTCGCCGAGGCTACACGGTTAGCGGCGCTGCACTCCCACGCCCCCTGGTGGTCCTTGGTGAGCGGCTGCAGCAGCAGAGAGCCGTTGGGTTCTACGGAGTAAGAGATGCGACGAGCCAAGTCGACCTACCAGACACACGGAGACCGCAGAGGGAACAAAACTCTCATCATCTCTTTCAATACACAGTCCATACAAAATAATCAAAGTTTTTAAATTGCCAGTATAATGGATCTCTTATCCATCAAGTTCAATTAACTGTCCACATCTAATAATCTAACTGAGAACAGCTCCAACGACCAATTACATCAACCCAGAAGTTTAACCAGCCAATCAGTTCACAACTGGCTATAGTGGGATCAATTAGGAAAGCATGATTCATTTATGGATTAAAAAGGTTTCTCATTACAGTTCAATAATCATTATCAGTATCTGACAGTGTAATGACAGTGATATAAATTTTACACAGTGCAGTCAGAAAGTATTGGGACAGTGTCTTGTTTTTGACTCTGTGCTGACTGGGGTACATTCACACTTAACGCACATTTTCGATTTTTACCCTCGCTCGTTATACAATCAGTTAATCTGGTCCATAGAACGTGCATGTGCTTGTGTGAGAGAGTGCATTTTCTACTTGGTAAAGGAAGGCCATTCAAGCTAAGACTGTTTGCTTTTTAAAGTATCGACTTGTAGCAGTAAGTGCTCACCAAAACCTATGTGGAGGAGCAAACATCCCTGCGCTGACCTCCATGCAAAGATTACACTTCTGAACACACTCATCAGCACGCTGGAGTCTCGCCAGATGTGATCTGATTTAGTTGTGACCTCCGCCCAACTGCGCAAGTTGTGCACAGAGGACGTAGCAGCACAAACAGAATTTTCCTTCAAAGAGTAACTACACCCAGGCTGAACGAGTGTTGTTCGCCGTTGCTGTGATTGAAAGTTTCAGGTTCGGGCGGGCAGGGGAATATAATGGTGATAATAATGACAGGGATTGGATTCAACTCTTGAATAAATGAGCGAAGTGAGACCTGAACCTCGCTCCTTTGGAAATCTAAACAAAGCTTTCGCCAACTGCCACACACCTACGTGCTACCGCTCTGCTAGCTACCACGACCCACTACCTAATAGCTAAGTGCAGTGGCCTTGGAAAACTTGGAAAATGTATTCTTTATTCTGCTTTAAGGAAGTCAAGGGTGGATGAATTCTGCAGAAACGATCGCCCATAAAATTTATAAAATGTATCTAGTTACATCTGGATTACACCATATGCTTTAGTATTTAGACATTTCTATAGGCATTTGTTCTTGTACCTACTGCATGTTAACGCGCACGCTTGTGTTGTATACTGTAGCCATTACATGCACAGGAGATTTCCAAATTAGCTTGTTGTACAATAAGCTTCAACAGAAACATAAACACATCGAATAACCTGTACTGGGTTATTTACCTTGCTCCATGTCACTTTAATTGTCGAGTCCTCGTTTCCTTGACAGGGAATGAGCAGGGTCCTTCCAGCCTCCTGTGTGTACTGCTTCTCTGGAGTGACGCTGAATGTTGGGGGGTCCTGTGAATTGCCAAAACAATATAGCTGAATCAAGGAGATTGCAGCAATGCCAACAATGGATTTTAAGACTGGATTACTGCCGCTTTGGACAAGATTATCTTAATAACAAAAGGATTAGCCACACAATTAACTCCCAAATAGTGCTGCCATTGTAGTGAGTCTGAGTTGACTCCCATTAATGCCAGAGGGCTCACACGTCAGAGTGAAAAGGTCAATAAAATGTCGTTTCCGCTAAGTTTTTAATTCGCTGTGACAGATGCAGCGGTGGTTAATTAAAATACACAGGGGTGTAGAGAGACATTTTAGCTGAACTGGGTGGACAGATTCAGCGGCAGTTTCTGAGCTGCCGTGGCACGACTGACCAACAATTTGTCGTTAACAATGCAGGAAATGTAGTCTGCCTTACAACAGGTATTTTAAATGACTTCATGTTACGTGTGGTATCGCTCCGCTGAGTGACCCGGGTGGCCTGGAGGTCTCACTAACCTGCAGAATCACGCTGGTTGGGCCAGATGAACCCATGCTGCCGTAGCTGTTGTATGGAGTACACGTGTATACGCCCGCGGCATCGTCATTGACTGTGGCCATGAATAATGAACCCTCCGGTGTCAAGGTCCATCCTGGATACTGAGAGAAAAGCACAATGCTCACACACACAGGCTGACAGTTAGAGATGAAGGGAAGTAGCACAGCCCGGAAAGATACATAGCATTAATGGCAAAAAAAAAAAAAAAAAAAAGTGTGCAGAGAGCTTTAAGAGCGAAAAGGCAGGAATCTGTAACCACTCCAAGACCACGTATGAGCTCCTCAGCTGTGTTTGAAGGATTTACAGAAATAATGTTTCTGATATCTGCCTTCGACAGTCCTGCAGTGATTAAGTACTTAAGTCCCCACTGGGCAGATTATTTCCAAACTTCTTTAAAAAAAGGTGCATTATTTGTTAATGTTGTCACAGTTTCTAGAAGATGATTTCCAAAAATGACATGTAATAGAAAGAAAACACAAGAAAAGCCTTTTGTCGATATCCTCCTCATCATCTCCGAGGTGAATCCATACACACACACACACACACACACACACACACACACACACACACACACACACGTGACAGAAATGCTCTGCAGTGCGTTCAACATCACTTTCTGAAGCATTTGCATTAAAAGCAGGTAAATTTTCAAGTCATTTTTTCCCCATTAAGGCAGAGAGAAAGGCTTGTGTGGCGCTTTGACTGCGCGAAAGGTTCCCACTCTGTTTAATGAAGTCAAAACTGCTATTATCCTCCCTAGAATGAGGCTGTGAGAAAGTATTACTGTGGGTATAAGAGCTAGTGACATCCAGGGTGAAATTGGAATAATTGGCAGAATAACAGCCTGACAACGCCTGTGTGCCACACTATAGGGATCTATCACATTTCCTGCGGTGCTTCTCATCCACCATCATGTCCATCGCTCAGACCAAAGTGTTCAGAAGGGGGTCGGCACAGCATGTGGGAGGGGGGCGGGGGGGGGGGGCGTTGTTCAGTGGAGCTTTTGCAGTCAAAACAGAGGAAATGTTTTTATTGGAAGCTACCATCGTGGACTCTGCTTATGCAATTCCAATCTGAAAACACGAGGGAGGACAAAGGTAAAAAAAAAGAAAAAAAAGATGGGATGTCCCACTCCCTGCTCCTCATCTATAATGGTTCCTGCACCCATCACTCAGACGCCAGAGGTGAGCCATTGATTGAAGCGAAAGTGGGAAAAAAACGGAAAAAAGGGAGAGTGAAGGGGGCAACTAGGAGTTCCTTGGGGAATGCTTCCAAAGCTTTTAAGGTTGGACACATCATCCCTGTCCATTAAGATACATGTGACTGAATGGCATCACAACTGAAAACCTGGAAGGATATTTCCATCCGTGGACACATGAAAAAAAAAAAAAAAAAAAAAAAAGAGTATCATAGCTTCTACCTCATGTTCACAGTGTAATAGCAAGAAAATTGTTGCTCTGCTGCACTGTAGCAAGTTGAGAGGGTTGATTGTAAAAAAAAAAAAAAAAAAAAAAAAAAAAAAAACTTTCGCATCACAAGCTGCTAATGGCAGCTGTTTTAAAGGTGCCTGTAGTCAGCAGCGGCATAAGACATATCTCTGCTACAAGAAAATGAACAGAGGCCGCCAGGTTGCCTGTGATGTTTGCAGCATCAGGAATCAATAAATAGAGTTGTGGGACATAAATTTGAGTTTGGGCACAGAACAAAGGTCTGACAGCAGCTGTTGCTCCCTGTGGAGATTATTCTTTTTATTACCAAGAACAGGTCAAGTGGCGCTCCATCCTTCATCCAATCCACACCGAGCAGTGGAGGTTGAGCTACCGCTGGGCAGGTAATCACGCCATCCATACCTGTGGGAAGGAACGTCTCCTGAGGCATTTGCAGAGCCTTTGCTGGGTCTGAGCGGAGGAAAGAAATTAAAGTAATTTACTTTGCAGCAACTAGAATTTCTTACTGTTTCAATACAATAGGAAATTACACGTACTAGGGGCAGAGAAACCTACATGATGATCCATAACCTCTGTTTCAACAGATTGCTTTTGTTGCACTGTTTCCTGTGTGACTGCGTTTTTACTACAAGTGCGGCTCCTTGTATTTACAGCTGACTGAACGTGTCTGAGGGGTTTTTTACAGGTCTACAAGCAACAGTAAAATATTCAGAGGAAAAGTCTACATTGCCAACTGTTACTGATTTTACAATAAATAAATCAAAGTTATGACTGTTTTCTGACGCCACTAAAGGATTGTTTACATCTGTAAACGGGCTTATATTTTCACTTATGAGTGGTTAATAAACTCAGAAATGTTTGCTTGTAAGTCTTCAGTTAAATATGTAAATATAACCGTCAAATACATTTGGTTTCGACATTGTCATTTCTGTCATATTTTACACTTTTCCAGTGTTTTATTTGAAGTGTTGATCCATAAGAAGATATATTTGTGGTTTTAAGAACCAAAAACCATCTCAGTGCAGTTTTACATCTCCTCTCTCAGGCTTCTCTCTGGAGCTCTAGTGACAACATGTCTGTTAGCTGACTGTTTTCTGAATGGTTGAATAAAAATATAGCAGATTTCAGGTAAACACTCAGAGAAACCAAATCCTGCAAGGTTAGATGGTGGGTCGAAATGGGCCGGGCTTGGGGCACGGCTGAGAGCGGTGACTGCTTTATTGTGACATCACAAAGTTACAGAAGTCCTGACAGCTCGTTTCATGGCTCAGTTTCTGAATACAGGCTGTGTGCATTTCTCTGTGGACTGAGCACTTTGATACTTTCACAGTATTAATATAGAACCAAGACCTGCTTTATGATCAAAAAGACATGGAAATGCCTTTTTATACGATATGGGACCTTTAAAGTTGGCTCATCAATTATACTTTTTAAGGATGTTTAAAAAATTCAGTTTCAAGGGAACTATGGTTAATATGTCACATCACTTGTGGTAAATGTGCTGACTTTCACTGGCACAATTCAGTCTGTTACTGTGAGTTTAGCTGAAACCAGTGTATGAGAGAAAATAGATCAAATCTGCATCTGCAATTTCTGGCCACTGCTTCCAATCTCTTTCTTTAATTTATAAATTCTGGCTCCATCGAAAAGCGCTGGATATTGTTGGAGATGACTCCCACCCAGCATCTGTCCCCTTTGATGAAATGTTTATATTTCAATATTTCATTGGATAATACTTGGCTGAATAATGTTTCATAAATAACAGCTTGGTGCTGAAAAGACAAAAACATTGTTTAAAAAATGAGTTGACTGTTAAACTCTAATGTGTTGAAATTCTGAATGAGAATATAAGAAAGAAAAAATAAATATATGTGATGTCCCTGGAGGACTCACATACTCTGCATTAACTTCAGACTACACACAGATATACGTACGCATCACTGTGAGGTTGGCTGAGGCGGTGGGCGGGGTCAGCAGGCCATTGGTTGGCATGCAGGTGTAGTTCCCAGAATCCTCTGGGATGAGACTGGAGATGAGCAGAGTTCCATCTACCATGATCTTCACTCGCTTTTTCAAAGACCTTGAGGGAAACACACGGGAATTATTGAACAGGTAAAGAAACAAACCAGCTACTTCAGAATAGCAGCGAGAGGTAATTCAGCTCTTCCACTGGAGTTGAGTCAAACAGGTTCTCAAAGAGTGTAGGAGTTTTTTGTTTTTTTTTTTTCCTGTGAGAGGATAGAGCAGATGGAGCTTTAGGAAATTTCATTTCATTTCAGCTGGAGTGGGAAGAGAAGTGCCCACTCATATACATTCTTACATTTACAGAGACAGCAGAGGGAGAAGCTATGGAACAGGCTGCACCTCACAAGCAGGTTACATATGCACGCTGGTGATGTATGTCCTCGTGGGAGGATTCAAAGTCACACATTCGTGCTAATTACCAAGGAGGTCAGATGATTCATGTACTGTAAGCGACCTGGATGTTTCTCATCACTACTTTGTTTTCCTCCCTTTGCACTGACATCGATGTCACTGTGTGCCTGAAAGCTGCTGTTATTTAAGCTCCATTTAACAACATTTTTTACATTAACAATCAATCAAACGGCTAATGTGAAGAGGGGGCTGCTCGCAGTGACAAACTCACGAAGAATTATCACCAACTCTGCAACTCTACTGAGCTTTTTAGCCTGTTCTGGCTCATTGATTTGGTTTTATGACACTTTTACTGTACAGTTCAGTATCAGCACTCTCATCAACTCTGATTCCATCTGTTGTTTTCACCAAACAAGTTCTGATAAACCCACTGTGCACTACCTGCTCAGCATCAAACGACAGACAAATGAGCAACAAGACGGTGGAGTAAGTGGAACATCTGGCAGCTGAAGAGCCAGATGTTTTTCTAAGTAGTTGCTGGAGACCAAACTAGAGCTAAAAGGAGATGGACCAACAGTTTAAAAATCCAAAGATATTTAATTTATAATGAACAAAATCGGAAAACCCTCAGATATGAAAGGCAGGAAATGGAGAAGGTTTGGCATTTGTGCTTAATACATGAAAAAATGTTGACAATTTTCTGACTAAGTGATTAAGTGATTAATCTTTTCAGCAATAAACACATTCATCATAGCAACTGAGCTAACAGCACAGGTGGGACAAAGTCATTATTTGGTTTGTAAGTAGAGAGATTGAGTCATTATGTGCGTCATCCTCACACAAATTTAATAAACTAAATTTAAAACAGAGTTACTTGGTGTAGTAAGTTTAATTCTTATATTTATAAGTTTTAGAACATTTAAAAGCAAAATGATCAGGTTACTCTGGGACTAAGCTCGGGGGTAAATAGCATTTTATCAAACCTGAATCTAGTATTGAATACATTTGCCTCCAATTTTCAACATTTAAAGTTGTAACAAAAAATAACTGAAACTCAAATTTCATTGAGCTGTATAGTCCTACCTTTTGTTGGCTGAAAAGAGAGAAACACTACAGATTTGAAATCATTTGTCACAACTATGGGTAAAAACTGAACTATGAAAACTCCGCAGCATATAATATGAAACTCTCCTTCAATATGCATCTGACTCACCGAAATAAAAGCTGTAGCCTGAATTTGCACACCTTATTTTTTTACAAGCTGATTGCTCTAAATACTGGAGCTCCTGGTTCATAGTTATTACGCTGATCAGCTTAAAACACTGAGATTCTGTGAGAGATTCTGAAAACTGAAACTGACACAAAAAGCTGCTGGATAGTTTCACCAAAGAAGACTGTTGGTCTTGTTGAAGTGCAAAAACACACCATCTACACACGTTATAGACTGATGCTTTTTGTGCCCACAAATTATATAAGGCTGAGTAGAGACAGTGGCTTATAGCGCATTAATTAGACAACAGTCAAAAGTTGCAGAGTGGGTAGGTAAATTAGGTTAATTAATTTGCCATTTATGCTGACGAAAGATAAAGTTTAGGTTTCTGTTCTGATGTATGAATGTGAATCGAGTCCACACCTCTGGTTATCATTTTCCAAAAATAAATGCTACAAGAACCAACCAAACTCAAAATAAGGCCAAAAAACTCAGGCTACATTCAAGGGTAAATGGAAAAAAACTAATGGAGGAAAACTTGGTTTCTCAAAGAACACCTCACTATTTTTAAGGAATAATTACAAAAGAGCTTATTCCCCAAAATTAGTAACAGATAATCAGAATAATCCTCATGTGCTCTACTCAGCTGTTAACAGCATTATATATCAGCTCCAAAAAGCCTCTCTAAAACTTTTTTCCTCATCAAAATCAGGTTGAGTATTAACCTGAGTGTAACTGTGATGAATAATGATATGTGTGATAGAGAAATGTTCAGGAGGAGAAGTAATGCAAATTAAGCCCTCCACCTGCTCAACTGACCCTATCCCAGCCACCGTATTTTTTTTTTTTTTTTTAAAGAGTGTTGAATTGTCTGCTGGATGATGTGCCAGCAATCAGGAACCATTCCCCACTCACTCAGATCTTCTCCCTGGCTCTGAACACGCCTATTGTGAAACCTCTCACACAGAAAAGCTCATTCAGTGCTTCACAGTTTCAGGCCAATTTCATTTTTTTTTTTTTTTCTTTTAAAGAGACATGAGTGAAGCCTTTTTTTTCCTCTCCTTCATTACCTCCCCCAGGCAGTGAGATGTTTTCACTTGTACGTTTGTTAGTTTGTTAGTTTGTTTGTCAGCAGGATTACGCAAGAAGTACTGAACCGATTTGCACCAAACTTGGAGGAGGGATGGGGCCTGCCCCGGGAAGAACCCATTCACCCATTTTGGTGATGATCCAATTAAAGGTGCAGATCCAGGGGTATTTTTAACACTTTCCTTAAAGGTCCCATATTTTATACTTTTCCGGTGTTTGATTTGAAGAGTTGATATAGTTGTGGTTTTAAGAACCAAAAACCATCTCAATGTAGTTTTACGTCTCTCTGGAGCTGTAGTAACAGGTCGGCGAGCCAATCATTAGAGAGGTTCAGAGACTCTCCTCTGATTGGCTGACTGTTTTCTAAATGATCAAATAAAAAAGCATTAATATATAGATTTCAGGTAAACTCAGAGAGGGTGTGGGTGGGCTGGGCTCGGGGAGTGGCTGAGAGCGGTAGCTGTTTTGTTGTGATATCACACAGTTACAGAAGTCCTGACAGCTTGTTTTAAGTGTCTAAATACAGGCTTTGTGCATAATTTGTCTGCGGACTGAGTGCTTCAATACTTTCACCATATTAAAACAGAACCCAGACCTACTTTATAATCAAAAAAGACATGGAAATCTCACTTTATACAATATGTGACCTTTCACATTGCGAGGCATTGTTCAACACTTTGGTCAGTTTCTCAAGAGATAATTTATGGATCATGATATAAAAAAAGTCTGTCATATTTACAGTGTGGGGATTTATTATTTTTGTACAATCTGGCGCAGTTCGAGATAATAATCTGGATCTGACAGGCGTGTAGGATTGCTTGGCCTTGGCCGAGGTATGCGCTCTACTACATGCCATTCTAGTTTTATATGTGTTCATTAAGTCTGCATAACTGTCAAGCACGCCTGATATATTACCTTTATAAAGTTACTGTGTCTAAAGCGTTGGGAAACAATCACCTACTTGCAGCATCCAGCAGACAAAGGGATAATTAGCATTAGTATTCATTTGGAGTCGTATGTCTGTCTACTTGATGAATAGAAGTCCAATAGTTACTCTCCTTTTATCAGTGGTTTTGCCTCCACTAACTCCTAAGAAAAATCTCTGGCACTTTCACTACTTTCTTCATCAGCTAGTAGCTAACTTTGTCTGACATTTGGTGTTGAGCTGTAGTACCCAGTGGAAATGGGGCTGATGAGAGCCCTGAGGCTGAATTGTACAGTTAATGTACCATAGAACCATAATAATGAACTAAAACAGCTCTGTAGCGCTGCAGAGGTCTGTCATAATTATGTGTGCATTTTGTGTAACCCTTTTCACATTACAAATAGTCAGCTATTTAATTGTTAATAAAAAATATTTTAACGACCACTCCTTTACGGGCCATAAAAAGTAACTTAAAGGTGCTCTGCGGAGTTTTTGAGTACAAATAAAGCTATGGAGAAATGATTTATTTTGTGTGTATCACACAAAAGGACACACAAACACACAGGTAACACAAAACACATTCTCCTATTCCGCTGATAACTGATAGCTGAAAACTGACCTCTCCTTGTTGCACCACACACCTCACTTAAAACACTCTGGATGGCTTCCATTTGGCTTATCTGGCTTGTCGCTCCATGTATTCATTTGTTTTAAAATATGGTTATATGTTCTACTAAGTTACAATTATTTATTCATTCAAAAATTCACAGTGTAGGTTGTAAAAAGTATGTGAACCCCTCGGCTAATGACATTAGTAAAACTGGAGTCCGGAGTTATCAAACCTGGAGTCCACCCAATGAAGCCAGATTGGAGGTGCGGGTTAGTTCGACTTGTAAAGAGACGCTCAAACATTTTGAGTTTGCTGTTCACAGGAAGCATCTGCTGATGCGAACCATGCCTCGCAAAAGAGATCTCAGGAGACTCACAATTAAGAATTGCTGATTTGCATAAAGCTGGAAGGGTTACAAAGTCATCTCAGAGTTTACATATTCATCAGTCGACTGTTAGAAAGACTGTCTATAAATGGAGACGGTTTAATATTCTCCCCAGAGGTGGGTGCCAGACAGAGAGGAATCCAAAGGCACAATGCAGATGCTCAGTGAGGTAAAAAAAGAACCCCTGAGCCAAAGGCTTAAAAGGAATCACCGGAGCTTGTTGACTTCTCTGCTCATGAGTCAACCATACGCAAGTCATGGTGCATGGTTGCATGGAGCATGGTGTCCATCACAGGACACTATGGAGGAAGCTGTTTCTCTCCAAAAAAAAAAAAAAAAAAAAAAAAAACATCACAGCACGCCTGAAGTTTGCCAAAGAGCAGCTTGACCCTCCACAGCACCACTGGCAAAATGTTTTGTGGACTGATGAAACTAAGGTTGAATAGTTCAGGAAGAACATGCAGCAGTATGTGTGGTGTAGGCAGGGAACTGCACACCAACACGAAAACGTCATCGCAAAGCTGACGTAGGGTAGGAGGGAGCTCTGCTGCCTCTGGGCCTGGACAGCTTGACATCAGAGAGGAAAATGAATTCCCAAGTTTAACAAGGTGTGCTAGGGTGGCTGTCCACCTGCTGAAGCTCGGCAGGACTTGGGTGACGCAGCGGGACAAAGAGAAATCTACTACAGAATGACTTCAAACACAGAAAATCCGCCCTTTTGGAGCGGTCCAGTCAGAGTCCAGACTTAATCCAGTAGAGATGCTGTGGAATGACCCGAACAGAGCCGCTCACACCAGACATCCTGACTATATGTCTGAGCTGAAGCAGTTCCCTAATAGAACATTGTGCAGGTCTGATCAGCAGCTACTGTAAGAGCTTGTTTGAGGTTATTGCTGCCAAAGGAGGTTCAACCAGTTATTAAATCCAAGGGCTCACTTACTTTTTCCACCAGCACTGAATGTTTAAATGTCTGTACTCAATAAGGAACAAAAGATTTTAATTGTTTTTCTGTGTATCATTGTGTTGGTCTACACTTGTGACTTGGATGAAGATCACATCACATTTTATGAAAAATGAATGCAGAAAACAACTGGTCATTCTGAGGGTTTCACTGACTTTATCTTGCCACTGTACATCTCTACCTCCTCCCAGCAGGGACGCGAGCAGGAGGTGCGAGAATGGATGGACGGATGGATGGATGCTGCATCCAGAAAACGGTACAACCTCGCTCCCTCTAGCGTCATTCTAAAGAGATACCGACAGCATCTCAACTATGAAATCTGTACAATATGTAAAAGTAACAAAAGAAAAACACCTGACACTTGATGAGATGCTGCTCCAACACTTAATACAGATCTATGCTGCATCAGGGCATCATAGAATGTGACGGATAGAAATAAACCAAATAGACAATTACATTTCGTTCGACACTGAAAGAACAGAGCAGATGTGAGGGAGAGATAAAGACAGCAATAAATACTCTGAATAAAATCTGTAGCTTGTAAAAGGCCACATACACAGTGAGTCTGACATCCTTCTGACGCTCAGGTTCATATTATTGCACTAATAATGATAACCGTGACTGTGCGGCAGACTGTATCAGAATACAGCTGTATGTTTATTCTGAATAAACCAAGATCAACTTGGAATGAAAACTAAGAAAAGAAGAAGAAAAGCCTCTTGGCTTATGAAGAACAAATAAACAAACCTGGAAAAGATGATTTTGTGATTCACTTAGTTTTTCCAATCATGTTTATTTTATGAATAACATGAATAACAGTGGAGCCGCTGCTGGTTCCTACAGCCCAGCTGTTGCTTTTACTTTCCCATCAGATCAGCTCACCAATAAGTAGATTCTGACCGAGGGGGTGTTGATGTGTGGTAAAAAAAAAAAAAATACATTCATGTAAATCCTTTTTTTGACCTCCTTGTCTCCTCGCTCCTCCCTCCTCACTCCTCACTCCTCTACCACACATTTAAGGTATTGAAACATCCTCAATAATAATGACAACGTCACAATTCGGAGAACGGAGTGAGGAAATGAGGAAGCACCTTCTGGGTGCACCTCTATATAATTACATTGAGGAGGTAACTACGACCACTGGAGGTCAGCAAAAACAAGGTGTTAAGCTGGTGTTGGGTTACTCTATGATGGCCAATATACTGTATATACTGTACACTGTGAGACAAGATGCATTTGTAAATTGTAAGAGAGAGTGGACTATGTTGTAAATCTGAACTGATACTAATAGAGTGCTGCAGGAATGAGTCCTTAGTTAGCGTCTTAGGACTTCTGGTTGCCTCATCCCAAAGTCAATGTATTAGGGTTAGGGTTAGGTGCCTGAAATAAGGTCTGTGGTTGACACAAGCTCAAGACGTTTTCACATTTTATTCTACAACATAAAATACGCAGTTGTAATTTCTTTAAGCTTTTACATCTCTTAATAAAAGGCCGGTTGCTAACAAGTGGTTAAATGAGACTACAGAGGTTGTCGTGGACGTTAAACGTCATCATGCCGAACCTGAAAACCGATCGAGTCACCGCTCCACCTTTACAGCCTCGTTGTGTTTGTACTCGCGCTTTTGCAAACTATTACTAACTTGGTGAGAGGAAAGGATTTTGTAAAAGAGGTTAGAGCTAAATCAAAATACTAGTTGGAAGTTTGGCGGTGGTGACATTGAAGTCATGTGACCGTGGTTTATTGGTCATTTATAACCTAACATTAGTTTTTCACGTCTGGCGATTGTATTTAGGCTTTAAAAATCATAAAAGTGGTGTTTATTTGTGAAGATTATGTATATATCTCGTGCTGAACAAAGTATCATAAACCTTTGTTTGTCACAGAGCTTACTTTCTGCAACCAATGGAAAAATCTTACTGCATTTTTGCAGTGGGAACCAGGGTCATGCTAACATCTGGGTTGGCCTACAAAATACATCATTCCTACGGCACTCTTTATCAATTACTTTTATTTTTATTTTTATTTTGTTTCTAGAAATTATTATATGTTCATATTAGATATCAATATAAAATTACACATTTCAAGATAGTAGCCCATCGGGATACACCAGGGCTCCACTCTGGCACCTGTCATTTCCATGCTACCACTGGGACAACACATGAAGTTTTGCATAAGTTCAACCGGGAAGACTGTCTTTATGTCTCATTCATTCACAATTACTCTCCCTGCTTCTTCTGATCAGCTGACTATGGGCGTTTGTGGTAAAACAAATCATATTTCGCCACAATGTCATCAGTCAATGATGTTGTTGCTGTCAAACTTTAATCTGTTCTCCTCTCTTCTGCTTTCAGCTGTCATTTCAGTGCATATTTGCTGCCTCCCACTTCCACCCACATTCACCTCCAGTCTTCACATCAAGTACCTTAAATCAGAGTCGACTCCTCATCACACCCAGATCTTCCCTTTTCAAATGCGATGACATCACCAAAGACTCTCACATCTCTGATCAGATCAGATTAATGTGCTTCCATGGTTGTGTATTTTTAAATCTTTCATAACAGGCGATGCACAGCTGTACACTTCCATATGATACGAAGTTGTTGTTCATATCAACTTATTTTTACAGTGCTTCCCGGCAAGTGAACAAACATAACACTTTGGTGCAAAGCATTGCAACAAAAAAATCCAAAAAAGGAGAAGCTGTGGTTTAGCTTAGAATCCCTGGCAGAAAATGTCAAGCCCTAAGCAAATAACCTTGGTCTGTCTCTTTTGAGCTGATTTGAATTTCACAACAGAAGCTGAAAAAAACCCACCTTTTATCATATCAAGAGTATTGCAGAAGTGCAGCATAAAGCATTGTGTCGTAAGGCTTGGTAGCTGCAAAGCTCCTTTTGTTCTGGTCTAAACTTGTCACTCTTGGCTTGTTAAAACACTGTGAGCAGCCAAAGTTCAGAAGCATTTATATTGTAAATCATTTATTCATTTTGATGAATATTGTTCTGTCCCTTTAACACCTACATACTGTGGCAACCAAAGCAGGAATCACCACAGACACTCCCTGAGGTGAGACACACCGCTCTGTCTTTGTGAAAAACATAAACATATCGAGTGGTGTGTTTTTCCCGACGGAGACTTCCTGGGCACCGCTGTAGCACTATCCAGATTTTTCCAGTCACTAGCTAAGTGTTGTTATTTTAGTTCAAGCTAACGTTAACTGGCAAACTCACAGCTGAGAAAATATCATGCATGGAGGGACTTCCAACATTACAGCATGAGTGTGAAGAGTTTAAGAAGTAAGTGGCAGCAGCTGACTTGCTTTTACCTGAGGGGCTGGCGTTTTCAGAGCGTGATAAATTAGTGAGCAACAATAACATATTAAATTGATGGTTTCGACTCAAATTACTGGAAATTTCATGAGTGCATTATGTGTTCTCATGTTGTTTCTCCGTCTAATACAGAGCTGGCCCTCGGTCACCAGCACTGTGACAAGTTTAATCCGGAACACAGCAGCACATGCGCGAGACCTGAGGCAAAGCACTAAGCAGGCACTGCTTGTGTTTCTAAAGTCGCTCCACTTACTCCAGGTCAGTTTGCAGAAAATTCAACATTTGTCATCAAATCATTCAGCGCACTCTGCACACGAGCACATGTCTGACAGGCTTTTAAAAAAAATGTCGCTTCTAGATTTGTTTGGTCCTCCGGGCCTGGCTTTCATGTGCAGTGGCTCCATGGCCCAGAACCAGAACCTGAATCAGAAAAACTTTATTGATCCCCGCAGGGAAACTGCCTCATTAACTAAGACCTATGAGGAGGCAGGTTTTAGTTTAGTGTCTGTGGATATAAAGAAGCACATTTTGTCTCATCTACAGACTGCCATAAGACTTCAGGTGAAACTCATTTTCATTGTCAAACAAAATGTTGAGATCTTTTATTTATCTTTGTACTCACATAGTTAATCTGACTGATCTCTCTGAATGTCTAATTGTTCTGCTCACATTTCAATTATTATGTTGCTTCTCTTTTTTTTCCAATTTTGTTTTTTTTTTGTCTCTTGGCGAAGCACTGTGTTTTTAACTTTCCATAAAAAGTTAAGATTTGAATGAGATGTAACAACCATTCTTCTTCTCCTATAGTTAGATTTAAAAACCACAGGTAACACTTCACAAACATCTACGTGTAATAAATGATTGCACTCACTCTATGTGATAGACGTTCTCTCCACCTCTCTGCCAGATGTAGGTCATGTTGGGGGGGTCGGCCACAGCCTGGCACTGGAGAAATGCATGCTGGGACATGTTGAGAGAGGTGCTTTTGGGCGGGACGACAATGACAGGTGGACCTAGTGAGAGGCAGGTCACAAAATATATTAAATTAAGTCAAAAAAAAGATGATTATTTTCATTATGAATGAATCTGTTGATTATTTTTTCAACAGATTTTGTTTTTTCGATTGATCGTCTAATCGTTAAGTCTAAAGATCTTGAGTCATGTTATTCTGAAACACTTTGGCAGTTCTCAAAACATGACGAGCAAAAGCTCAAAGATGGTTTCAGTCATTCTAGGACAAGGTACTTTTTGTTACACGGATGTTTGTTCAAGGGTTCATTTTTCTGATAAGTTTGGTTTGAAATGAGTTATTTGACAGTATAAAATGGGAGTGTAACATCATGACTGCCAGCTGTGACTGACTCACAACTGGGTCATGGGAGTGTTCGGGCGGGACCTCGAGACCATGGCTCCACTTCCTGATCACTGCTACACTGCAGATTCTGGCTCCAAATGATGTCACAAGGGGAAGATGGCAGCGTCCGTATCCAGGATATTTTGGCTTCATTTTTGTACAGTGGGATGAAGTGGAGACACGTCATCCATCTTTATATACAGTCATTGCTCAGGACTAGGGCTGAAAGATATGGATTTTTTCCTTTCATTTTCACTGAATAAAATATAAAAATGAAGATAATGTCATTTTTATTGAGTCTTGTACCAACAAAGCACTCGCTCAAATCTGGAGAATATGATTTATAGACCAGGGCATCTCTGTAGGACCACAGTGCTTCAGGTATGCCATGTTGTGACACATTTTACCTAAAATTGCAACTCTTGCAATTTGGATATCGCACTTGGCCATATTGCGATTTCGATAATATTTCAATTTACTACTGAAAACATTTAACCCATGTAGGGCTGCTACAAATAATTATTTTAATTATACATTAACCTGATGTTTAGTTTAGAGTCAGCTACATGAAGATTACACAGACTGTGGGAAAGGAACAGGATTATGCGGATTAATGTTATAACGTTATCTTTGTATTGTTTGTTAAATTTAATGAAAATAATAAAGAAATAGGAAAAATGGGAAAATAACAAAAAAAAACACAAAAATTAAAATTACAGCAAAAACAAAAGTAATGACAAATATCAAATACAACATAAGCACCATTTACATTGTAGTAAGTACGCTCTGCACCTCGCTAGCTATCCAAACACCCCTTCTGCCCATAGCATTTTAATCCAATTTTTTCGAAGAGTAAAACACATATAAAAATACACAAAGTCACCGAAAGAAATCTATGTGTATGTGTGTAATATGTAATATGTTTGAAACGTACGTGCAAAATCCTGCATGTGAGGATTTACACATGAAGCAAGTTGATAAAGTCGCTGAAGAGTTTTGGTGAAGAAGACAAAGTCAATGCATGACTGGATCAAGCAACAGGAAATGCATTGCAGATTTGAGAATCATCATGATTTTGACAATTAACTCCCAAAGCGAGTTAAAAAAGCTCTCAAACATAACCTCTTCGAAGAAAACAGGAGACACCACAATATCCCTGAGAACCTTATACCAACGTAATCATGGTGCTACCATGTCACATTTATCACTTCCCTCCGCCGTGCCAACCGCCGACACGTGTGTTTTTTGCAAAGAGCTAATAAAGGAGGATTGACACACCACATGTCTCATGTATAAATAACCACATGATCTCTGCAGCTGTCATTACTGATAATCTGAAATGCCCGATGTATATATGCACGAGTGACAGTTTAGGGGTTACTTAAGGCGTTTAGACTGACTTCATCCAGATCAGCTATTAGTGTACTATAATCCATCCATGTGGCAACGATGGGGGAAAACGCAGCCAAAAGCTCAGATAACGTGACTTACACTGAAAAGTATTAGGGCAGTGTGTGCTCATGATGATTATTGTTCAAAATGTGACCAGTGTAAGTTTGAGATTCTAAAGTGAAGTGAAACCTCCAGGAGACATTAAGGCAAAACTAAAATATTTCCCCCATGCACCACGCTCCAGAAGAGTCCTGGCTCTCTGGAGAAAATCAGCAGTAGGAGTACGAGTAGGAGTACAGGAAGTAGTCAGAAATATATAATCCAGTGGCGTGTCGGTGTAATCCAATGATACACAGGAGCATATTTGCATATTCTACATGTGTTTGTCCTTAAACTGGACAGCACATTTAAATCCGTAACCTGAGGACTTCTGTGAACCTGTCGAGGGTCTATTGTACTGTAAATCTCTTATGATATATTTTTGACCAGGTACCTCAAGAAACATTTTCATTCAAGAGGAAAATTCTTTGAATTTTATGACCAAACAGAGAAATCTGTCTACAGGAGCCTAACAAGCTCAGGAAACTGTCACATCCCTGAAATGCAGCCTTAAAAATTTAGCAAAAGATGAAACTTTATCACGATAAAGCGAAAAGGCATAAGAAGCATCGACGTTCGCAGGTCCAGCCCGCCACCCACCCCACCCCCCACCCCAAAAAAAATCCCACATGATATCTCGTCTCATATCATGATATGTGTTTTATCTTCACAGGGGAAAGAGCGCAAGTTTAATTCGGTTTGAGTTTCTCTTACAACTCTGTCATATGATGCAAGAGGGAGAAACAGAAATGTAAATTACGGTGGCTCCCAGCCAGTCAGGAACACAGACATCACAGAGACTGAAGGAACTGGCAGGCAGGCAGGCAGACAGACAGACAGACAGACAGACAGACAGAAAGACAGACAGACAGACAGACAGACAGGCTGCCATGCAACAACTGACCTTTGATCTTCACTTTTGTCACGCGAGTCACGTTTCCCTCAGAGTTGGAGGCGTGGCAGGTGTACTGACCTGCTGACTGCATGCTCACTGCTCGCAGAGATAAGGTTCCCTCCTGGTAAATTTGATGTGACAGATAGAGTGAGAGACGGACACATGAGAACGACACATGTAGATACGTATACATCCATATGTATCATATATACTGCATTCAGAAAGTGTTCAGACACCCCTTTAGTTTTATTTTTTTACATTTTGTTATGTTGCAGCCTCACGATAAAATAACATAAAAGAAATTTGTCCTTCATCGATCTACACTCAATAACCCACGATGACAAAGAAAAAACATGGCTTGGCCTGCTTGCTCTGATATGCATCCTCAGCCGTGAGACACACGGGTGTGTATCTTTCCAAATCGTGTCCTGTTAATTGAATTTACCACAGGTGGTGGGCTCCACTCAAGGTGTAGAAACATCTCAAAGATGATCAACAGAAACGGGAGCTAAACTCTAAGTGTCATAGCAGTGTCTGAATACTTATGTCAAGGTGATATTTCAGTTTTTCCCTTTTAATACCTTTGCAAAAAATTCTAAAATTCTGTTTTCACTTTGTCATTAAAGGATATTGGGTGTAGATTAATGAGGGAAAAACAATATCATTTTAGCACGTGAAAGACAACATGTGAAAAAGTGAAGGAGTCTGAACACTTTCTAAATACAACGTACATACATAGACTATAGATAGATATCCAGAAAGCAACAGATACACACACCTACATGTAACAGATGGGATACTGTACTTTTCACTCCACTATCTGACAGCTAATTAGATTTAGTCTGAGAGCAAACTAGATGTATGCTACTTTCTCTTGGTTTTGCTTTCAAGCTTTAGAAAATCTAGCCAGCGATGGGAGACTTTAGCCAATCACAGGTCTTTCCAGGGAGAGAGAGTTTTCCTATCGGCTGTTCTACAAATGCAGATGCATGTGCACGTCCCTTTGGGCGAACATGTGTCGGTATCAGTGAAGTGTTTTTCAGAGATGGAGAGAAGTTGATGTACCTCTCCTGGGCAGCTAACACGCTGTAACATCTAAATGTGTTGTAGCGGTTGGTTGTGTATGTACATTGAATGCAAAAATATAAACACAACGCTTTTGTTTTTCCTCCCATTTTTCATGAAATTGAACATGTGAAGTTGAAATTAAAGATCCAAGACTTTTTCTAACCACACACAAAAAAAGCGTCTATCTCTCAAATCTTCCTTCCTTGTTTAAAATATGTGTCAGTGAGCATTTCGCCTTTGCCAAGACAATCCGTCCACCTGACAGGTGTGGCATATCGAGATGCTGATTACACACGATCACTGCACTGGTGTGTCCGGGGCTGGTCACAATAAAAGGCCACTTTAAAATGTGCAGTATTTTGGAAAGAAAAAGACATTTATTAGGTACCACTCCTCTTCAGTGGCTGTGCAAAGTTAAAGGATATTGGCAGGAAGCGGAGCACGCTGTCGTACACACAGATCCACAGCATGCCCGAACACGCAATGTCTAGTGACAACGCAGGCCACGCAAGAACTGGTATGTTTTAAGCTTCCAGCAAATGTGTACATCATGCTGAATGAGGCCACGGTATGTATATCTGTGTCTGTGTGTGTGTGTGTGTGTGTGTGTGTGTGTGTGTGTGTGTGTGTGTGTGTGTCTCTTTTGTGTTTATAGAAAGTCTTAGATCTTTTATTTGACCTCATGAAAAATGGGATTAAAAACAAAAGCATTGCATATTTATATTTTCGTTCAGTATAGATTCACCATGAAAGCAGGCGATGAGTAGCTGTGTTGAATGTTGCTAATAGCTTTGCCTTCTGCTAACTGTAGCCAAAGGTTGCAGTTGTGTTGCGTGGCATTTCTGGCGTCCCTTCTCTAAATTTCTGCCTGCCCCAGCTTCAAAGATGAAGCAACCGTTTCCCGACCTCTTTGGCAGAGAGTTTGAGAGTTTGTCACATTTCAGATTTCTACAAGTTGTTTCAGTGATTTCCACTCTGAACATTTCAGATGGTTAAACAACTGCTCAAATGATTCAATATTTCATAATAATAACAACAACAATAATAATAATTGTGGAACCACAGGATTATACCTAACTCTAAATAAAGTAGTTTAAACTAGCTCCACTTCAACTGGAAACAAAAGTGAAATGATGCTTATAAACTGACACATCAGTATTGAAAAATACAGAGGATACAAGAGCTAAACAGATATGGTGGCTGTGAATATCATACATATGCATCACACACTCACACATACCTGATCATTTGTTCTTTGAATAACACTGCCATCCTTGAGCCAGGTGATGGTTGGAGCAGGGTTGCCATTGGCAACACAAGGAAGCGAGAGGTGACCTCCAATCAGAGTCTCTACCACAGGAGGCGGGGTTTCATTGAAGGTGGGTGGAGCTAACAAAACATGAAGGGTGAACTTTTAACTGAATGAATCTGTACATCTGCACATGAGGAAAATCTGCATACATCAGAAAATTATGCTCCTCAAATAGATTTTACAATATTTAGTCTCACTCAGTAACACTGACGGCATACTGTATATGGACCATCCCTGTCTGTAGCAAAACAGAAATGTAAAAGATCCACACTGTCTTCCGAGCAGTAGTAAGGAAGAAGAAAAAAACCCGGACCAGCAGACAGTAAATCTTTTGTCTCTCTCGCCCCTTTTTTATCAATTTATATGCAGCATGACAGCAGCTTGGCCTCGTTTGTTAAACAGCAGCAGCCTGTGTGCAGTTTACTGACATCAAGTAACATTATTATTTCACATCCAAAAGTGAAGATGTCAGATACAAACGCCATCTTTCTGATCTGCTAACATGAACATGTTGCTGCCACTTAAAGTCTCAGATCTCATCAGAGAGCATACAGTGAGCCTTCTAACCTCTGCAAACACATGAACAAAGCACTTGCAACTTCAACATTTCAGTACAGTTTTTCAGGGCTCATATGCTAATTGTAGCTTTGTATGATAAATAACCAGATATTTTTCTGAGGAGTTTGAAAATGGCTTCTGTATTTTTTCTTTTTAAAAGACTAACTGTTTTATTTGAATTACAGATGAGATGTTTGTGTCTGTCTGTGCAAAAGAGAGACCTTGTGAAATTACAAAAAGCACTTGCAAAATTCTTACTCCTACTTCCTAAAAACAAAATATAAAAAAAAAAATACCCATTTTGCTTGTTTATAGATTTAGTTGCACAAAAACCAAACAGGAGGGTGTTACAGTTCTTTTAGCTTTGCATTTTCCTGCCTATAAAGGCCACTGACAATCTCACATGTTGAGGCAGAGTGCAAACAATAGGATGTGAAGAGTTTACCTGCAGGGCATGTCAGTGAAGTTATATCCAACGCCTCAAGTACAAAGTCAAACTCTATTATAATTCTCATCTCTAACCTGACACTCACACAGACCAGCTCGGTGAAACCGTCTCACCTCGCTTTGATCTACTGTGTGCACTGATACTTCGTGTGTAGAACCATAGCAATGGTTTTCCCAAATATACTTAAAACTTCAAAGCACAAAAATAATGATCCATATTTTATATTTAGATTTATTATTTAAACCTGTCAATAAGTGCGACGATACCTCAGAGTCGGAGACGATTCTTTCTAAAAACCTGCGTGAAGAAAGTCAGAGGCAATCCAAATTACCTGATCCATCTAGAGTTTTAGACAGTTTTGTCTTGAAAAAAAAGTTTTGTAATGTTGTAATAGCTTTTTCAAAAGTTTAAGTTTAAAGAAGCTCCTGTCAAGAAATGATATAGCAGTGCTTTACGGACCAAATGAAATCCAAGACCTTCCATGTGGAATACAAACTTAACCACAGGGTGGGTTCTCCCAAACGTTAAATGTTAAAGAGACAGACGTGTTAAATTGTATGAAAGCAATTCCATGTGAGCTTACTGAACATAGGGGAAAACTTATCTTGTATTTACATTCATAGGCTACAGGGCATCTCCTAGCAACGCCGGCCCTCGAATGTCAGTCAGAAGCTGCCATGGGAAACACCCACAAGAGGCTTGAAGCTTTGACGCTATTTCTGCAGTGGATGTATATATATAAAAAAAAAAAAAAAGTTCATCCTCTTTTGAAAAACAGAAAATTGTGCAAAATATAGCTGCAGTCACTTTATAGTTTTTATTTCCTTACTCAAAAAGAGAGGAAAATTCAAATTTAGGGTCAAAATCTTTTGCTATTGCTACATAGCTGGCATTAGTATTATTAGCTGGTTACTTACTAGACTTGCCAAGAGCTTCAGCCATCATTGTGTTTACTTGTGTTTGATAAAATGATATTAAAATTGGAAATCAGGAGCTATCTAAACAAAGGATAAGCAAACAAGACTACAAATCTGACTAGATGTTAATAGTAGCAAAAAGGTACCAAGGTTTGGCTTTTCTCTGCTGCATGTTGTGGGATATACACTGAAAACTAAAAGTTGTCCATCCTGATGTCCACTGTTTTGATTGACAAACTGGACGAGGGTCATCATCTGGACCAAATGTTATTTAACATTTGAATCCTTATGAAGTTAAATATAATCCACCTCGAAAATAGCCATAACAGCATGAAGCAAAAAAAAAAAAACACACACACACACAAACACACTCTACTCCATAAACCTCACCAGTTACAGAAAGCAGAGTCCAGGTGCCGTTTCGCAGCTCATCTGTTGGTTTATCCAGTAAGAGGATTCGACACTCGTACAAGCCCTGATCATCCAGTTGCAGGCCCTCTAGCCTCAGCGCAGTGATACGTACCAGAGACACCCGCCCTGCAGAAACAGAGTGCAGGCAAAAAGGTGAGAGGGTTGGTGTGGGGGGGCAAGAGAGAGGCCATCCGCAGGTGATGCTGATTTCACTTGTCATCTCTCGGGTCTGAGCAGTGTGTAACTGTTGGAGGGGGATGCTTTGTTGTGCTGAAAAAGAACATTGTCCTCAAACGTTGCCTGAAACAACCACACACACGCACACACAAAACAACAGCGAACACATGCACACACAAACTTAGAAATGTGATCTCCTGGTTGCCAGGTGACGGCTCCCTCGAGAAGGAGCGCAGCTCGCAACATCAACCTTTATCTTTTCCAGTCTGCAGCCCACATCCCTCTGTGTCCATCTGGTTTTCACACTTTATCACACAATCAGACAGACAATTGTCCGGTGACCTGACATCATGGGACGGCATGGCTGAAAGGAAACTGTCACTGATAGTTTAATGCTAGGACACACGGTCTTCTCCCTGAAATGAAAACATGTAAACACCAAACACGCTGCAGTGTGGAAGCCTCAGTGCCACTGGGATGTCTGTTGTGATGGTAATTATTAACAGGCTCTGATTTCCTGTGGCAGGGAGGGACGGTCCTGGCCGTCAAAAAGAACCAGGAAGTTGGAGTTAGGCATGCTGGCAGTGATAACACACCCTATTTGCTTTTCCAAGCCGCCAAAGGGGACTAAATCCACAGGGGGGGGGGGTTAAAGTAGAGCAAAACACACATCAGCATACACTCCGGGGATTAGTTCATTTCAAAATCCTACCCTTTGACCCCTGGCAGTTTTTTTTCCCTCTCTCATGTTTACTGGCTCAGAGCGATATAGGTCACTGCAGCACCTTAGAGGAAAGGTAGTGCTGAGGCAGGGATGTTGTGAGAACGTGACTGGGAGTTGTCAGATAGAGAGAAAAAAAAAGGAAAGAGCGGAGGTGTAGTAAGAGCACGACCTAACGCCACGGCTGCCGCCGTGTGAAATATGCATGATTGCAAAAGATTTGAATGCGAGGTAAATGGAGTGTAAGGCCGGGAGGAGGTAGAAACACAGAAAGAAAAGAAGAGGCGAGGGAAATTTTTACATCTTTACCTCTCAACATACACAGTCCACATCTCACTGTACTGCGCTATGTCTGAGAGTGTAAAAACAAGTGCATGCAACACAGGATTCAGTCAGCTCTCAGTGTGCAAACAAGTCAGTGTGGTGAAGTAAAATAAATAAGTAAATGTAGCTTTGCATTGTTGATGTCAGTAAAATAACAACATTTCCCTTTTCTTCTTTGAATCCAACCTCAGTCCTGACCCTGAAAAACAACTAAAACTGTTATGTACAGGGGGTTATCAGTTTTCATTTATCATTAAAGCTGCAAATAAATATTATATCTAATATTTTTAACAGATTCTCAATCAATGACAGACATAGTTTATTATAACAACAAAGCGCGAGACTGTATTATAGTTTGTAGTTTATTGTGAGTTGTTAATTGGCAATTATTGATTGTAATGTGTGCTTCACAATAAACTGCAGCAATGCTAACTGGATTATTGTAGGCTATTTTATTTTATTTGTTTAGGTAATTCAATCTACCAGTTTATTGTTTATTTTTAAATATTAATTTTTCTCTTCTAAAGGTTTGCCTACTAACACTATGGGGACAAACATACTGTTGTGTACTGTAGGTCTGGGGCTGTTCGGCCCCTTAGTTGTAATTAATGTTGCAGCATACTGTGGTATTTAATATTTAATAATAACAGTGTTCCTTCAACTTTGAAGTAACAGCTTGAAGAAAACTATTTCCTGTTTCAACCTGCCTGTGTGACTGTGCATAAACCCAGGTCCATAAATGCAAAATGTTGGTTAGAGCTTGACTGGTCTGCACAGAGCACTGACCTCAACCTCATCCAACACCTTTGCGGTGAACTGGAACATCGAGCGTGAGCTGGACCTTATCACCCTGCATCTGTGTTGGACCTCGCTAATGTTCCTGTGGCTGAATTGAAGCAAATCCCTGCAGCCAGGTGCCAAAACCTCTCCTTCCCAGAATACTGGAGGCTGTTATAGCAGCAGATTAATGCCCACATGTGACTGTAACATCCATTGTCCACAGACTTTTTACCATAGTGTGTTCGTGTAAGAATAAATAGATTAATTCATTTTACTACCAATGACAGCAATATAGGGTTCCAAATAAATACAAAACATAATCAGTCATTAGACATCTTCACTAACGTGCCGCTAGAAATTTGTAGTAAAAAAAATGAAAATCGGGGCGACCCAGAGGGCGCATATCACATGGATATGCAAACGCCCTGAGCAGCGAGTCCACAGTTCAACTTCTTGCTGCATGTCATTCCCCCGCTCTCTATCCCTGTCTCTCTTCACTGACCTATCCAAAAAAATGATGAATAAATAATAATGAAAATCAAACAGAATACGTAAAAGCTCTGCTGAAACAGAGACTGACATTACTTCATACATCACATCACAATGCAGGTAACCAAATACGAGTGCTTCAACAGGGGCCTGAAAATGATACTAACAACAGGTAGAAGCCCCCCACCCCCCACCCCACCCCCACCAACAACTCTAACTCTCTACCCACTAACTCTATTCATTTAGCAGCTTTTTCACTGGTCAACAATATCCTCTATCACTTCAATTCATTCACACAAACTGACACCACACACACACACACACACACAATTGTGCTCAATGCATTTATTTGCCAAACTGTTTCCAACTGAAACCCCCCCCCCCTCCCCCTTCATACACTCTCAGGTGACAGAGAAACACAAAACCATTCAGCGCCGAGACGAAACTCAACTCCTCACGAATGAAAAGGTTCAGTCTGAAGTGAAAAGTCTGTGGAACCTGACAGGAATGCTGTTTCTGCTTTCAGTAGTGAAATAGATTATTAAATGTAATGTTCATTATCTTCTATGATACACAATTACTTTCAAAGGAAAGTTTGGAAACACTTGTCATTCGACTTAACTGCTAATTAAAAACCTTTGTGTAACATTATTGGAGATGGATCATGTCGTGTTTTGAATTCATAAACTCATTTTCAATCTTGGCTCTTTATTAATTTCAGCATGTCTTATGCCTCATTGTGTTTTATACGCTGTACTGCTTTACTGCTTTTGTTGATTTCATTGCCATATTTTGTTTTGAAGCATGGAATTGTGCTTTCAGCTGCTCTCATGAAATGGTTACAGGTTTCATGTCTTTTATAAAAGCTCACTAAGGCCCTTCATGTTGAAGGCTATGGATTCTGTTTTTTTTTTTTTCTCCCCCCCTCTCTTTTATCCAGAGTGAAGGATGCACCAGAGCTATTGATTTTCTTTCTTCTAAAATGGATCTGTAGCATTTTGGAAATTAGGTTTTTAAATAATAAAAAAAAAAAAAAAAAATGTCTTCTGGGGAATTATCTGGAAAGTGTCTTGTTTGGTTTGACAGGGCTCTATATGAAAAATTATTTAAATTCAATACCATTTTGCGCAACCCGGGCGTTTATGTCCCTGAGAATGTGATATTGACGGGCAGGAAGCCCACATCGCCTCTGTGAGATGTCGTCAGCTCTTGGCACGCTGCGCACAGGCATTCAGGTTTTCAGTTAGAGAAAGAAGCAGATAAGGTTTCGCTCCTCGCTTGCTTGATGCTCCATTGAGCTCCACTGTGTCATCGTTTGAAATTTGATTTCAGAGCTCCGTTGCTTTTTAGAGGCCGAGGCCTACTCACTGCCGTAACGAACGTTGAGTAATCCCAGTGCAAACTCTCATGTTTGTCCGTGTGGAAAAGGAAGCATATTAGCCATGTTCGCATGCGTGTGATGTGTCACGCCTGCACACGGTCTGCTCAGGCCGATTGTGATGGGATTTACATGGAAACATTGGATTTATACAGCTGTATTTACTTTTCATGGAGTCAGCAGCTGTATAGGCGCGGAGGGATTTTCTATCCTGTGCACAGAGCAGACGCTAATCCTTTGATCTTTACTGCTCTATTACAACAAATACATTTAAACCCTTTTAGCTCTCAACACTCTCAGGGGAGCAATCTGAAGAAAATCTAATGTACCTCACACTGTGCAGCTACACACAAGGACGAACGCAATAATTACTGAAGACATGCCCTGCAATCAGAAAAGTTCAATTTGTATCCATTTAAGGTGCAAAAGGGGGGGAGGGGCTGCTTATGGATTCTGTGTCCTGAAGCTAAACTGACACCTGAGCGCAGTCATGGTCTGAGGAGGTGAAATCCACACCGTCCGTTCCATCTCTTAAGCGTTACTTTCCCATGCTGCACCTGTTCCTCCCACACCAGCCAGTACCTGTGAGAAAGCCTGACCAATCAGCATCAGACTGGGCGAAGCACTTCTTTTTTTTTTTTTTATTAAACCTTTTGTGTCCACAAAGAACAGAGGCTCTCCGTTTGTCACCGGAGAGGCATGTGATTAGCATACCTGTCCTCCTACAGAAGGTGCTTATCTTTGCAAGGTGCTTTATGGTTGAATAAAGTGTACAAAAAGTGTAATTCATGGGCCAAAGGGTGGACAAATTTTAGGGTTTTTACTACCGGTATATTGCCGCGCTTCTGCTGAAACTAACATCCAGTGTAATGAGGTGTGACATCACCGTACGTTGAAGGATTGTCTTCAGAGTCAGCGACAAAAGGCTACAGTCTTTTATGAGCCCGGGCTGGAATTAAAGTCTGCACCTCTCCCACTTACGATAATTCATCAGCCAAGGTTCACCCTGACTTTATTGCTATGTAAATGTCTGTATCGTATTTCCTGCTCGGCTCGGGTGAGGGAGTGGCGTCCAACTCAAATGAGAAAAGGCCTCGGCTCAGCTGAAAGCAGGTTCTGATCCTTTGACAAACACACACCTCAATGCACTGATCACTGCTCTTTACTGTACGTACAACCAATGAACCTGTGATGCCAAACATCTTTTTTTTAGATTCTACTTACATAGTGACGTCATGAATAAGGATATTATCAACAAATTGCATCAAAACTTTTAATTATAGTGTTGTTTTTGGAGCCAAAGTCTAATATATCTTATTCCTCTGTGCCATAGAGCTCCATTGTTGTCCAAAAAGTATTACACTTTTGCACTGGCCGACAGTGTTCCTTTATTACAATCAACACGGACACTGAAGTTTATTTTGAGTCAATCCCACTTATATCATCCTGGTGCTGTAAATACTCAGTAGCACACCAAATGTGTATTAATCCACAGCTAAAAATAGTCCACAAAAATTGCACAATTTGCTCTTGTTTGAGTAAAGCAAAAAAAAAACACACACACACTACCCAGGTGTTTTAGGAAATTAAACTATATATTTTGTGAGACATTTTTAAAGATTTATGTCTTCAGCTGGGGTTTGGGGCAGAGTGCCACAGTCTGAATAGGGTAGGAAAATATTGAGAGAGACTAATGCATTGCTTTCCATGGGATTTGGAGACAATAAGAAAATTATAGAATAATACCAGCCTTATACTTTAATAAATCATAATTTACCCAAGCAGCAACCTCCAGGAAGTGCTAAAAACTGCAGTTCCTCAAATGGCCACTTGAGGCTTCAAAAGTGAGTCAATCCCCATAGACTCCCATGTTAAAATATCCAACTTTACAGCAGAAATAAACATGTTTACAGCCTGGTAGAAGAAAGGGTTTTGGTATCTACAGTTAATCTTTAACTAAATGGTCACTGTCATGAGATTTTTTTCACATTTTTCTGATTAAACCTTTCAACACCACCCTCTGTGGAGACACTATATTTCACTATATAAGGCTTTAGTTGTATACTATGCATCATATCAGCTCAACTAAAGTAGGCTATAATTTATAGATGCATATCACATTTATATAAATTTTAATCTAAATGTATACATACTGCCACTCTTCTATATGCTAACCTTCAGTTTACCATTTCATTTCCTCTTTTGTAGCTGTAACGTTGCTGAAATAGTTCAAACTCCATCAAATGAAAATACTCCATATGACTTATTCATCTTTTTATAAACACCCCCCCCCAAAAAAAAAAAAATCAACCTGACATGTTTGGTATCTTTGGAAACTTTGGGAGCTTCACAAGAATTTCAAATTAGTTTGTGTGGGTTTGAACGATGTCTGGCTACACAGCATGACTTTGTAATGACTGATGCAACAGTGGGTAAGAAGGGTTTAACAGGTCAAATCCCTAATTGTTTTAGGGAGTATTTATTATGTGGCATGTTGATTGCGGATATCGACTATATACCAGTTTTCACCCTGCTGAAAATAAATGACAGGATTAACTACTTAGAGCTGCGAAGCTGTTTCCTCCCACCTGAATGTTAAACAGTCAAATTTATTTCATTCTTTGAGATGCAGTTTTCTTTCTCTAACTGCGCTTTAGTCAAAACTATACATGGCGCCCCTGCAGAAATTCAAATAGCCTCCACAAAGGTCGATAGGTTGAATTTCTCTTCAGGCAGCTCTTTGGAAAAGAAAAAAAAAAAAAAATGACTTTGACAAAAGGAAGATGTGAGCCACCTAGAGATGCTTTCTTTTTTGTTCACATTAGTCCCATTGTTTGTGACTTTAAAGGATAACAGAAACCTACACAAAGGTATTCTTGGTCCATTGAGGATCTTTTTCCCCAAAGACTCTCTTTGTTCTCAGAGCTGTGGGCAGAAAGTGCACAATAGATGATGATGCAACACGAGAGTTTCAGCTCCTTTAAAAAGTAGCTCCCCCCGAGGCTGGTTTGAAAGGCCATCAAGGTGTGGTGCTGCATACACTCTGAGACCCAGATACCGGTTTCATTCTTTCAGATGAAGGAGCTTGGACTGGAGCATAAACAGCCCTCATCCTAGTTATTAAATTCTTCATTTCTTTTATAATGACAAGTGACTTGGGTAAAAAAAATAAAAAAATTGTGATTAATAGTTGTTGAAACATTCTCCTCAAAACCCTAAACGTCAACTCACAGCGGTGCTAAAGGAAGATTCACCAAACTCAGTCTATCCTCAGGTGACCGTGAATGTCTTTCCAAGACTTCCTGACAGTCCATTCAACAGTTTTTGAGATATTTCACAGTGATGGACTGACCGGCTGACACATGCCGTCCAAAACTATCCATAGAGACCTGCTGCTAGCATAGCTAACAAAGATTACTATCAGCTGCAACCCAGTAACTGCAGGCTATCTCTGTGGTATTTTTTAGGACTCCAGCAGCTCCAATACCTCTACAGTCTATGTTTAATTCATGAATACAAATGATTGTTGTTCATAGATATCAACATTTGTTAGTAGACCCAGCTGATACCTAAATCGATATCTGACATTTTTCTAACTTTATTAACAATCCCGTATATGAGGTTATGAAAGAACTGTGACAACAACATGTGCAGAGACATACCACTGAGAAATAAACTGTTAAGCTCTCTGTAGCAGTGACATACACAGATCTCATCGTGATACCGTTTGTAAATGATCTCAAATGTATCTTTGGCATTTTCTGTGCTGCAATTTTCTCGTTACTTACCAGCCGACAAATATGCCAATACAAGTACTGTACGTCGACAGTTTGATGAGCTATAATTTGCTGGTAATATCGGTAGTGCTGATGTTTCAGTCAGGTTCGTCTTGCAAGTACAAGTGTTCAAATGCCATTTTCCTTCAGCGTTTTTTGTCACAACAATAAGCTCAGGAATAAAATATGAGAGCGATGCAAAAACAAAAAAAAAAAAAAGTCCAAACACAAAAGTTTGAACATAGCTGGATGTTTATCATGCCACATAAAGCCCAGGTTAAAATAATCCCAATTATACTCTACACATTCAGCACTGCAACATCATGCTGCCTTAGACAATTATAGCAATCACAGTGAACAGTAAGGGTGTGTTTAACATTACGACTGTCAGTTGGAGTGCGTATTGCGATGATAGTCGCTCACCTTCATATCGTGGATGGACCCGGGGCACGTAGGATCCAAATTTGATCAAGACGGGGATGTCGAGTCCCTGTCGAACCCATTCCACCACATGCAGAGATGCCGAGGACGCGGCAGCTGGGTCTGACGGAGGAAAACTACACTCCAACTCCACCGCACCTCCAACCTTCCCACGCGCCTCCGGCCTCACGCCTTCAGTGGCCGCCGCTGGGTTTATCAGGAGCAAAATGACAGTCAGTTTACTTTTAAACAGAAATAAGGATTAATATGGACAGTGGTGAGCACATATTATCTCGGAAAAGATGAGCTGAAAAATGAAAAATGAAAATATCTTTCTAGTAAAAGAATGGCGATACTTACAAAATAGGCAAAAAGCTGCCATCATAGTTAAAGTCTGCAAATGTGATCTCGCTGGCCCCATATCTGTCACTCATGCAACCTGCAGCATGTTCAATCTATTGGTAAAAGACACACAATTGTCACAATCACATTACTTCCTTGGCTGCACACAAGAAGACAGCCATCTGTGACAGATTTCCAAACTAAAGGCTACAGCAGAGCTGCCGCTTCTGTCATAATTTTACAGACGGGGGGGTGAGGAGCGTTCAGATTTTATACAGCTTTCCAATAACTGGAATTCATCCCATATCATTACACAAATGGGCAGAGCTGCCTCTGCTGCCAGAAAACTCTCTGGCCCTATATCCCTTTCTGAAAGTAAATGTCATAAATGTCACATAAATCTTCTGAGAGTCACGTGTAGAGTGACATCTAAGTGTTTTATTTAGAGCACATCAATGAAGACATTTGGCTGGAGCAGCCAGGAGACTCAGCACTCAAAGACAGAGATAAGCTGAGCTGATGGGAGGCGCAGGCTGCAGCAAGGCGTCCAGGAGTGCATCTTAATGTCAAGACGGAGCGGCCGATTTGATCCGGTCCAGACAATCCCTGCGTCCATTTTATCAAATGTGTTAAAGATGGAGGGAGGAAATCAACATGATAGGTCAGATTTTGGATAAACACTAAAATGCATCTATCATTTGTACCATCCATCACCTTCTGTGGTAGAAACTTTCAGCTATTGTAGAGAATCACTCTCTAAATCGGTAAATATCACACATGCCACTGCAAGGTCTTCTCTTCTTCCAGATATTTGTCTGATAGCATGAAGGCTGCTGCTGGCTAAGATCTATACCAACTCTATAATGAACACACTGGCATTCTAAACTGACTAGCTTTAGCTCACAGTTAAAACATCTCAAGTTGTTAAGTCACTACTGTACACTGTAGTGTAATCACTGTACTCTGCTGTACTAGCTTAAACATAAATGGAATTTTTTTACAATAAAATATTTACAATAAAACTGTGAAAAAATATTATAAAAATATACAAATATGTATATAGCACAACGTGCAATAGGAATGGGTGAGTGCAATAGTTCACAGTATGTTCTACACCCATATAAAGAGCAAAGGGTCAAGTTTAGTAGCACAGGCAAATACTACCCGGTCCGTGTTAAACATGGCTACACACCCACAAGGACAAACACCAATAAGTGTGCCAGATAAGAGCCAGAAACTGGCTCTGTTCAGTGTATATTATGTTTACACCAGTGGTGGTATGACAACCCATATTCTTCATTTAAAGCAACACTGTCACGGTTCCAGCCACGACGACAGAATATCCTCCCTCATCCTCTCTCTCGCTCCTCCCATCTCTCCTGTTCCCACGCCCCTAGTGTGTTTCTCCCTCCTCCTTGTCTCTTCCCCTGTCTGTCAATCCCCAGGGAGGCGTGGCCTTGCTACCTGGCTGTGGGCGGTGCAGCACACCTGAAACTCATCCACCTTCACCAAACCTCAGTATAAGAACCCCGGCAGATCATCCACTCGTCGCCAGATTATACCACAACGCCTACGTGGTAGCTATCGGTTGTAACTGTCGAGCAAATTTTTCCTTGTTGTTTCCTCGAGCAATTCCCAGTGTGACTGCGCCCGGATCCTCCCCTGCTACGGATTCAGAACCTACACGCAAGCCTTCAGATCAGCTACCTGCCTGCCTGTACCATTCCTCATCCCAGTGCGCTCAATAAAACTGTCTTTTAAACCCTACTTGAGCTCTGAGGTCTGATTCTGAGTCCAAACCGTATTCAAAGTCTAACACAACACTATGTTACTTTTGCTGAGCAGTGGTCACAAGTAGCACAAATGGAGCGAAGTCTCTATGATGTCTGTTTATACAGCTTAAGTTTGCTAACACAAGCTAACATTAGCCACTATCAGCTGGTGATCATATAGCAAACCAAGTATGGCAGCAGTGTATTTTATTCTGTAATCTTTTCAGAGTTTTATTGCTTCTCTCAAGAGTTACATGGTTTATTTCTTGAGTTTTATACCTAACTTCCCATATTCTTAAAGACTAACTTTTTACATTGGTTGCAGTGATGCACCCAACTTTTTCACTGTACCTTCTGGCTCCACAATATTGCATTCTTTTTTGGCTGTTTCATCACATCTGAGCTATGGAAATTAGACAAACCATTCTTTGCAAAGGGCAAATATTTTTGGTCTTTGTGACAATCTGGAAGATTTCATTCCAGGTTTATTTGGCGGCATCTGTAGTTACTGGTTGTAACTGCAAATTTCACATTTACATTTACATTTACATTTACTCGTTTGGCAGATGCTTTTATCCAAAGGTGACTTACAGGTGAGGGACATCACTACAGCTTCAGTGTAGTAAGAGACCTTGGTGTAAGTAATAAGTACTACATCTATTCAATAAGTGCAAGGGGATCGGGTAAAAGAGTGCACCGAAAATGCAGTTTAACCTAACACTGCAGGTCACAGAAATCTGGAGGCAGCAAAACAAACTATAACTGGCATTTTTCCATCATTCTGTGAGCATCCGTGATCTGATTTAATGCTGCACCCGGCATGAGTCTGTGAACAGCAGGACACAGTGAAAGGAGTGGGTTACCTCGCTGAGAAGTTGAAGGTGTGCAGCGTGTCGCCCCGCAGCTCTTCATCTAACAGCTCACTGTGGCTGCTCCTTCTTGTTCAATTACTCCCTGCAACATTTCAGACGGATCAACTGTCAGAAAATGACCGCTGTGCTGTTTTGCAGATGTTTTTTTGATGAACAATAGCTGTAAGTGCTAACCTCGCTGACAAACACTTTGCATTTCCCGTGACTACTTCATACTATTAGAGTCAACTCCTTATTTCGCCAGTTAAATGCTTTTAATGAGAAGCTGCAGCAGTAGGAAATGTTTGTTTAATACAGCAGCAGACACCCAGTTCTTAGGCTCAGTCACCGTTGTGTTACCTCATTCGACAATAGATCGTGACTTAACAGACAGCTTGCCGTTTTAAGTACAATTTTGAGGTTCTTGTACTTGAGTATTTCCATTATATGCTACTTGATACTTCCGCTCCACTAAGTTTCAAAGGGGAATATTGTACTTTCCACTCCATTACATTTCTCTGACAGCTTTAGTTACATGATACTTTTAAGATGAAGTTTTTACATTATGAATAATATAATGACCTTTAAAAATACAACACACTCTAACAGATTAAACCAGTGGTTTCCAACCTTTTTTGGTTGTCAGATATCTTACAAAAAGCAGTGTGTGTGTGTAGTCTGGATCACATTTCAGATGTCTGTGAGTTTCATCAAATAGTGATTTTACCCTCCTTCTCACATGGTTTCATTTCGGTAAATATTCGAATTAATCTATCACATCTAATTATGTCATATACAATATGTCAGAGAGACCAAACCGGTACTTTACCTACATTTATCTGCTATTGAACTATTATTGTTTATCATTAACTATTATTATTACTGCTATTGAATTATTTATTTTTAACTTTATTTTTAATATTGAGCTACTATCTATCTGTCTATCTATCTATCTATCTATCTATCTATCTATCTAATACTTATGTACTTAAGTAGCCTACTTAAGACACTTGTAATGGAGCTTTTTTACATCCCTGTATTGGTGCTTTAATTTAAGTAAAGGATCTAAATACTTCCTCCACCACTGGGAGACACAGGTGGTGGAGAGGTTACCTCCACCAATGATGTCAGGTCTGGGCGGGGCCCTTTCAGGACCAGGAACAGGTGTAACACTCGCTGCAGCATTTTTCTGGACAAGGAAAAAAAACCAATTGTTCTCCTCGTTTTGAATTACCAGTATGTTTTTAGGGTTGGGATGTTGCTCAAGGAAGAGTGTAAGGTGCCATTTCACCCATACACACGTGCCTTAAAAAGTAACGCAACACACATACACACACACACACACACACACACACACACACAGACAGACCCGCTAAATGTCAGGTGGATCGATGGGACTAATGACGACGTTTGCTCGTGTGTGTAACCATAATGGGCGCAATCTGGAGCCCTGGCTATAAGTTAGCCATATGCTTTGTACCTAACATCTTTATCTGCAAAGTAACTACCAACTTTAGCTACGTGGCACCTCTCAGTAACAATAGAGGTCCTTGCTTAGTTGCGACCACTGCGGTGTAGAAGTGAGAAATACATTTAGACACTGACTAAATAAGGTAAAGCTCTCACTGCCATTTGGGTAAGTCTTGATTGTGATGTTGACGGACACTTTTATTCCTCAAGGTACAACGGAAATGAAAGAGCTGCTCACAGCAAGACAGAAGTAAACAATGGTTGGCGGAGGTAAAACAGCTCCAATGACAGCTCATGAAAAAAGAATGAAAAAAAAAAAAACAGTCCCTGTATAAGAATGAACCTAGTACTATTGAAGTTTTCAAATCTGAAATTGGAAGCCACAGCTCACAGCTTGTATCACTTCATGGCTGTTTCAAAAATGATAAAGACTTTTACAGCTATAGCACAACGGTAACATTAGGACACGGGGTGCAGTACAAGTCTATTGTCCACCACGGAATCTGTTTTTGAGTCCACCACACTGCAACAACATGACATGATGCATTACAGTCAACGACAACATGCACAGTAACAATGACATCACCTGAGACATGAACAACATCCAACCTACTGTGTACAGACAAATGTGTAACACCGATATGCCAACTAAAGGGTGCTTCATACTGTATGCTTACAGGACTTTGTGAAGG